CATCTAAAAAATGTTTTCTAGGAATTTCTGTGCTTGAATTATGGGCTGAATTTTCCAAATAAGAACTATTTAAAAATTATTAATTATAATAAAAAATTTGTAAAATTTAATTGAAAATCAATTAATAACCGAAGTATATTTTAATTTACTTGTTATCCATTATATCAAAGCGATCATTAGAGAGCAAATTATCATTATAAAAATATAATAAATTATATATTAAAAATTATTCGAACCAATATATTGTTGAATTAATAGATTCTAACATGGAATTTAATGATGTGCTACGCATATCTTGGATTCTTTACAAATAGCTTTCCATTTCAAGTCGTTTTTTTTCAACTTCATAAAATCTGACCAATTATTTGATAGTGACCAAATTTCTTGTATTGCTGAACGTTGAGAAGGATCAGAATGCCAACATCTTTTCATTAACTTTACGTATTTTTCTGGTGTATCTTCTGTAATTTCTGGTCTTTTTCCATCTAAAAATATAAGTTTTGGTTCAATGTTCTTGTTCATGAAACCTGATGTCATTTGCCGCATATTAATTCATAACTATACATAGATGTCCGATGTATATAAATACGGTTGATTTTAAATAATTCTGGAGCCATATATGGAATAATTCCATATATTTGAGATTTTCTTGAGAGGTTTGGTTTAATAGTTGCTGGTTGACTAAATCCTAAATCTGAAATTACTGCATAATTATAATTATAGTTCCACTGTGTAAATCTCGATGCAAAATTTTCTTATCATGAATTCTTCTAATTGCCCTAACCACGTTAGATAAAAATTTAAATTTTACTTCTCATGTTATTTCTACAAAGATTTTATTTAAAAAATGATGCGAGTCTCCATTTTTTGTATAATCTAAAATAAATGTATAATTTTTAGTCTTTGGAATTTGGTCACTCCATAATTTAGTATCCGCATTTTGGGAATCATTTAGGGCTTTTAAAACAACTTTTTTTTTTTTTTTTCGTTTCAAAAATTATTTTCCTGTATTAAAATAAACTTGTTTTTCCCAAGTTGATTTATAGATTTCGTTAAAACCTCTCTTCCCAATGTGTTTTACATTTGTAAAATTTTCATATGGAACCCATATTAAAAAATTTTCTTTATTTGAAAATTGTGTTTTCTTTATGAAATCATCAATTTTTTTATTGCAACTGTCAACAATTTGTGAGTTCATTGCATTACATCCGTTTACATAAATGCGAACTATAAAAAGGGTTTCTTTTGTTACATTTATACATTTAATATTTTTATCTATCCATCAAGTTTTCTTGACTTAAAAGTCATTTTTTAAATAAGAATGGATGAATTTATGAGTTGTAGATAATTGAAAAATCCCATTTAAGTCGTTGAGGAAGTTCTATTCTGTGTTCCAGAATATGTTGCAAATTTATACATTCAAAAACGAATTTCTCTATTTACATACCATATTGCCATATTTATCTAATTAAATGAAAGCTGTAAATAAAAATAGTGATATAAAAGAATATTATAGTTAAAATATAAGTGATCCCTACTAAAATTTATTCTTTAATATATTTAATACTTCAAATTTTTTAAATAAACTAAATTTCATACAACACATTAGAAGAAGAAACATTTTGCGTATTCAAACTTTTTATTTGTTTTAAACAATAACAATAATTTTTAGCATCAACTAAAATTTTTTTTCTTTTAATAGAGTTATCTGTTTAATATAAAAGAATTAAATTAATAAAAAACGGTTATAATAAAGATTTCTGAGATTTAAATTATTGGACAAGAGTAAATGACAAGAATGTTCAATCGTCTAGTTTCAAGATCAGTTTTATGTGAAAGGCGAATGCTAAAATTATCATCTCAAAGTTGTTACAATTCTTCTGCTGACTTGGTATATAAATATTAAAATATTTTTCTATCTATACAATTAAGTTAGGTCTTTCATCGATAGAATATATTGCAAAAGTGGTTCTATTCAAATTTATAAAGCAGTTTATATAAAAAAATAACATATGATATTGATACTGATGAATGTGAGAGAAAATAAATGGAAAGGCATATCGTTTTATAAGTTTCAAATAACTCTAATAACCTGAATACAGAATTTTTAAAGGAGGTAATTAATCACTTCGTGCGTGTTTGTTAACAATTAATTGAACATCAAATTATCAAAAAGTGGAAAAGGTAATTCTCAAATAATCATTTGTTTATTGTAATTATGTACTGTATATTCTTTAACAGTTAATAATGGCGCAATAGATTTTTCATAGAAAAATTAACATGTAAAATGGATAAACCAACTTTCAAAAATTTTCAATTAAAAAAATATTCTCATCATGAGATGGATGGTAAGCGCCAGATACTCGACTCAATTTGTAAATTTTAGTTTTATTTTTAACGAAAGAATGATATAATATTTAGTATTATGTCGAGACACTTAATCATAAAAAGATATATTAAATAGTATATACTGTAAGTATAAAAATTTTAAGTTTATTTTTCCATTTTGTGAATTTTATAATAACAAATGATGATTGAAACTTGCAATATCATTTAATATATATTTTTATAAAATAATATGTTTATGTTTAGCATGAGTATTGAAGATTTAAATTAGGATAGTATCGAAGACAATCATATATATTAGTATTGGCATAAGCATTAAATATTTTATTGAAGAAATTTAAAAGCATAGTGAATTGAAGATAAAAGAAGAATAAAAATTCAAATAATAACAACATTAATGATCAACAATAATAATAATAAAATCACTACTTCGCTAGTTATTATTCTTTGGTGCGATGATAAATAAAAATAATAATAATGAGATGATAATGATGCTTATGATTATATGAATGATGATAAGAATAACGGTAAAAATTCCATTTCATTTTGAATTTATCTATAAATAATTTATTTGATATTGATGAATTTATATCAATATTTATATTGTACAGTACAACCTAAATTAATAGCCATTTCTTTTCAAAAAGAATAAAATTTTTACAAGTCATCTCAAAACCTTAATTAATTTCCTAGTTGAAAATATTTTATGGTATGGAAATATCGATCGTCTCATTTTCGTATGGATAATATTAAAATATGAATTTTACTAAAACGCATTTATGGTGTTAAACACCGCAATAAATTTTCTAGCTAATATTTAATTTAGGGTTAGGGTCTGTGTTGAGTTTAAAAATGAGGTTAGGTTTAGGTATAAAGATTCCAAGGAGCATTTACTTAGTCAAGCATTTCTGCTCAAATTTTCACCGCATTTATACCCTATGACGCGGACGCGGCGAATGGGATTATTACATGAAATCACATGTATTCTAAAAACAATGTCTTAAATGAACTTATGTAAACAAGAACAATTACAAAACTTTGTATCGAAGTATTACTGAACTGATAATTTCTTTTTGAAAAATAAAAAAACTCTCTTCTATAATAATTATTTTTAATCATTGTAGAAAATTAGAGTCAAGAAAGTTATATAAATTTGTTAGAGGAAAATCTTCAATTGTATGCTTGATAACTAATAGTTTCCTTATTTAACATTATAACACAGAACGACATGGTTTGTTTTTATTTTGTTAAACATTTAAAAGTAATTATAATTTAAATTATAATTTGCATTTATTATTTGAATAACTTCAAGAAAAAGAAAAGTTATATTTGAATCTTTTAAAAGATTAAGTTTTGTACGAGAGGTTGGTAAAAAAATAGTGGAACATCTTTTTACAAGTAGACTTTGTAGATATTTTCAAGATCTTGATATATATGAAAGAAATAATAATAAAAAAAACACCATAACAATGAAAATACAAGTAAAAATAGAGATAAATTAATTAAAGAAGAATATAAACATTTGAAAGAAATCAGAAAAAGTTTTTTCAATGCCTTTATAACTAATCAAGTATTTCCACTGCTTTATATTTAATAAAGTAGCCAGCCTTCTACCATTGTGGACCAAATGTTTTTTATGTACACTGTACTGAAAAAATTCATAGCAAAATAAATCAGCAATCTTCCAAAGAACTTTCTTATAGATTAATCCCAAGAATTGTTTCATTACCAAAAATGTGTTCCGAAAGTATTTATAACTATGAAAGAAAAAAATTCTAGTAGTTCAATTAAAAAGTATATAATGTAAATAGTTTCAATAACTTTCCTTTTTTAATGATTAAATTAATTTGTATTATTGTAATATCATAGGATAGCTTCAAGTTGAAGTCCCATTATGCAATTATTTAATTACAATGCATAGCATCATAAACTTTTCTCAGCTACGCTCTAGCAAGATATATATGAAAAGTGCTGGCAAGGATTTCTCTTCACAACTTATCAATAATCAATTTTTAGAACCACATGATGAATATGTAGAATATGTAGAAAAAAAAAATCTGGGACATGAAATATGAGTACATGAATTTCATAACTATGTAATCCACTTTTAGAAAAAAATTAATAATTTTTTTTTCTGGTTGTTCTCTTTCGCAGAAAATCCAAAATCCAGTCCTCCCATTATTTTTTGAATAGATGTTCCAGCTACTGGAAATTTAATGTTGAACAAATGCAGTAAACTGGAGATTATTTATATTTTTTAATTTTTTTTTTGTTTTGCTTGAATAAGACAATCAATGTCTGATTCCTTTTTTTGAATATTATTAAAGAGTGCTTCCAAACGTTACTATATTTTAATAACTTTAAAAGTTTAAAAATTATCTACATTTGATTAAATTTGAATAATTGGAAAATTATTTAAAATATAAGCGAGTGAGGTCAAACACATCTATTAATTAATTATCAAGATATTATATTAAGTTTTCTATTAAAGATTGTGATAATCTAAAGTGAAGAAAATGATGTGTCTTTATTTGATTTACTGTGAAACATATTTTATTATACAAAGGATAAACAAAAACAAATACAGTATTACATTTACTCGTGACCATTTTGTCATTTTTGTAATTTTTTTGCTTTTGCTCTTATTTTTGAAAATGTCTTTAAGAAACGATATCGAAATCATTGTAGCGATTGGTATGTTGAATTTTATAAATGATTTTAATTTATATCTTATTATTACAATTTCCTTGTTTATATTTCGAATAATAATACATTACATTTTCATAGATTTTGGAACAAAATATTCAGTAAGTTATAGAATGAATAAACTTTGTTGCAAAAAATCCGTTAAATTATCTATTTTATCTATATTACTGTATCTAAATTATTTTTTTGCATGAATATATCAGAGTTTCGCATATTCGGTGTGTTTACGTTCCAATTTTTTTTTAAGAGAAAAAAAGAAATTTTATTAATATAAATATTATAATTATTTTTTATTGATAGCATAAAAAAAATCCGGAAATAATAATAAACGATTCTTGGGTAAGTTTTAACGAAAGTTATTTTTTTTTGTGTGAGACAAATTTACCAAACTTAAAGTTTTTTTTCTTTGATACATCATTATTATTATCATTATTGAAATAGCCGGGACAAATAGGCGCTTTAAGGACAAATACCGCTTTACAATATGATGAAAACTATGAAAATGTATTAGAATGGGGTTATGAAGCATTGATTAAAGAACCTCAACGAAAAGGTCGTGACAAGAATTTTGCTAATGAACCTGTTGAATTATTTAAACTTCATTTGAGCGCAATACCTGATTCAGAAAAACCTCCATTGCCTCGATCATTGGATTATAAAAAAGCGATTACAGATTATTTAAGAGAAATGGGTAAGTAAAAAGTAATAATATTACTTTAATTACAATAATTTATTAAATTACTATAATAATATTTTAAAATTAACTGATATAATTATATTCTTTATCTTGTTTTAATAATAAAATAAATAAAAATTAAAATCAGGAAAGGTATGAAAATGTTATAATTCGAATATTTTTATTGTAAATATTTATTTACTCAAAAAAATTTTATTAAATATTATTATTATTTCTTTCTTAAAAAAAAAGTTAATTAAAAAAACTATTGAAAAGCGTTGGCCTTTTGTCAAATTTTTGGAAAATGTATTGTTAGTACTCACTGTACCCGAAGAATATCCTGAAAAATCAAAAAGAATATTAAGAGAATGTGTTTATAATGCTGGATTAATTGATTATTTGCCTTCAGAAAGATTATTTTTTTCTACTGAACGTAAGTTTCATTTCTAAATTTAAATATTATTAACTTGTATAAAATTAAATAATAATCACATAAATTTAATAAAAATTTATATTTTCTAGCCGAAGCAGTTGCAATATATTGTATGCAAATATTAAAAGAACTAGAATTTTTTGGTACATCTGAAGGCAGTACGCATGAATATTTATGTCACTATTTTTTTTTGTTTTAACAAAATAATGAATCTATTAATCTTTATAATAATTTATTATATCTATTATTTGTTATATAGAAAGTTTCTTGGTCGCTAATTGTGATGACGCCATTGTTAATTTAACTACATATAAATTTATATCAACTGATACACCGAGTGATGTCATTGAACATACTAGTGATTTTTGTGGAAATAATTATGTGGATAAAGAGTTTACTAAACTCTTGAAACGTTATGTGGGTGATGAAGCAATAAAAATATTAGAAGAACGAAATTATGGTCAAATGCTTTATATGATGCAGGCATTTCGGGGAAGAGTAAAATATTCATTTTCTGGAATTCAACAAGATTTTAAACTTTGTGAATTTGATCTTGAAAGATTATGCCCTGCAATTATGAAATATGTTACTGGGTCATATAAAGAAAAATTAGAAAAAGATTATTGGATAATCGGTTTTGATTTTGAAACTACGAAATCACTTTTTGATCCTATTATTGAAAAAATTATTAGATTGATTTCAGGACAGCTTAAAAATAGGAGTGGATGTGATGTTATGTTTTTGTTAGGTGGTCTTAGTGACTTAAAATATTTTCGAAAGAGGATTAGTGAAGAATTTGAAAATAAAGTAAAATGTATTTTTCCTAGAAAATCTCAAACAGCTATAGTACAAGGTGCAGTTGAATATGGGCTTAAGATGGAAATCATCAAAGCTCGTATTTATGGTGAAGGAACAACAAAAGATAAAGAAAAACGATTTCAGTGGTACTTGAAATTAGCTGAATGGGGAGATAGTAAAGGACAGAATAATCTTGGAGATTGTTATAAAAGTGGTATTGGAACTACAAAAGATGAAAAGAAAGCATTTCGATGGTACTTGAAATCAGCTGAAAGGGGAGATTGTGATGGGCAATTTAAGACTGGAGTATGTTATGCTAATGGCTTTGGAACTATAAAAGATGAAGAAAAGGCATTTCAGTGGTACTTGAAATCTGCTGAAGGAGGAAATAATATGGGACAGTATAATCTTGGTTATTGTTATCAACATGGGATTGGGACAAAAAAAGATGAAGAGAAAGGATTTCAGTGGTACATGAAATCAGCTGGGGAAAATATTATTGGACAGGAAAGTCTTGGTTATTGTTATCGTAATGGAATTGGAACAATGAAAGATGAAAAGAAAGCATTTCAGTGGTACTTAAAATCAGCTGAGGGAGGAAACGGTGAGGGACATAATTTTATTGGTTATTGCTATCATTTTGGTATTGGAACTGCAAAAGATGAAGAGAAAGCATTTCAGTGGTACTTAAAATCAGCTAAGGGAGGAAATAGCGAGGGACAATATTTTCTTGGTTATTGCTACCATTTTGGTATTGGAACCATAAAAGATGAAAAGAAAGCATTTCAGTTGTACTTGGAATCAGCTGAGGGTGGGAACAGTGAAGGACAGAATTTTCTTGGTTATTGCTATCAATTTGGTATTGGAACTATAAAAGATCAAAGGAAAGCATTTCAGTGGTACATGAAATCAGCAGAGAAAGGGAGTAATGGAGGACAGTTTAGTCTTGGTAATTGTTATCGTGATGGAATTGGAACTATAAAAGATGAAGAGAAGGCATTTCAGTGGTACATGAAGTCAGCTGAAGGAGGAAATAGTTCTGCACAGACTTTACTTGGGTTTAAAAAAACAGAAAATGAAGAAAATATGGATTATCATGAACAACATGAAATTGAAATTTCATCAGCTGAAGGAGGAAATACTTATGGCGAGAATAACCTTGGCAATTATTATTATAATGAAATTGAAACAACAAAAAATGAAGAGAAGGCATTTCAGTGGTACCTGAAATCAGCTGAAGGTGGAGGTAGTGATGAACAGAATAGCCTTGGTTATTGTTATCAACATGGGATTGGAACAACAAAAGATGAAAAGAAAGCATTTCAATGTTACTTGAAATCAGCGGAATGGGAAAATATTGATGGACAATGTAATCTTGGTTATTGTTATTATAATGGAATTGGAACTGCAAAAGATGAAGAGAAAGCATTTCAGTGGTACTTGAAATCAGCTGAGGGAGGAAACAGTGAAGGACAGAATTTTCTTGGATATTGCTATCATTTTGGTATCGGAACCATAAAAGATGAAAAGAAAGCATTTCAGTGGTATATGAGATCAGCTGAAGGAGGATATTGTAAAGGACAGTATAATCTTGGACATTGTTATTATTTTGGAATTGGAACTGCAAAGGATGAAGAGAAAACATTTAAGTGGTACATGAAGTCAGCTGAAGGTGGAGATAATAACGGACAGAATAGTCTTGGTTATTGTTATCAATATGGGATTGGAACAACAAAAGATGAAGAGAAAGCATTTCAATGGTACTTGAAATCAGCTGAAGGTGAAAATATTACTGGGCAATATAATCTTGGACGTTGTTATGAAAAAGGAATTGGAACAATAGAAGATAAAGGGAAAGCATTTAGGTGGTACACGAAATCAGCTGAAGGCGAAGATAATAACGGACAGAATAGTCTTGGTTATTGTTATCAACATGGGATTGGAACTGCAAAAGATGAAGAAAAAGCATTTCAGTGGTACTTGAAATCAGCTGAGAGAGGAAACAGTGAAGGACAGAATTTTCTTGGTAATTGCTATTATTTTGGTATTGGAACCATAAAAGATGAAAAGAAAGCATTTCAGTGGTACTTGAAATCAGCTGAACAGGAAAATATTACTGGACAATATAATCTTGGATGTTGCTATGAAAATGGAATTGGAACAACAAAAGATGAAGAGAAAGCATTTCAATGGTACTTTAAATCGGCTGAAGGAGGAAATATTAATGCACAAACTTTTCTTGAAATTAAAAAAACCAAAGACGAAGACGAAGAGATAATATTTCAATGGTACTTGAAATTGGCTGAAGAAAGAAATATTGATGGACAGAATAAACTTGGTTATTGTTATCTCCTTGGTATTGGAACTGCAAAAGATGATGAGAAAGCATTCGAGTGGTATATAAAGTCAGCTGAAGGGGGAAATAGTGATGGACAATATAGTCTTGCGAATTGTTATTTTTATGGGATCGGTACTACCAAAGATGAAAAGAAAGCATTACATTGGTACATAAAATCATATAGATCTTCATTCGGGTCGGGTAAAAGGCGTGTTACATAAAATAACAAATATTCTGTATTTTATATGATGTAAATTCGACTAAATATTCAAGGTATGGTTTTATTAATAGGAAATATTTTATATTGAAAAATTTGTTTAAAATATAGATTATTTTTTACATTAATTATTTTAATAAATTTTTTTTTTAAAAAAAAATGCTACGCATACGTAATTAGTATCTTGAAGTATCAAATGTATGGTACTCACAATCTCACCTTTCAGATTAGATAAATGACGCACTCTAATTCTAGGAATTTAACTTCAAATATTTTTATTCCTTTTTGTTTCATATATTTACAGATTTCAATTATCTCGTTTTTTTTCCAAATATGTGAAATAGGATTATTTTATATATTTTTTAGATAGTAGAGTGACGCATATATTGTCCATCCGGATTGTTTCAAGACTGACTAACAAACTTTAAATTAATTTCAATTTATCATTAATTTTATATGCTTAATTTAATTTTTTAATTAATTATTATTTATTAAATTAATTATTTAATATAATAACATAAACAAGGTTGGAAAATTTGTCTAGATAAAGTTGATGTACTAAATTTTATTAATTATTATAAAGTCTAACTTAATTAATCGCTGTACTAACTTATTTTCCCCAACCCTAAATATAAATGTATTACTTATCGAAATTTTATTTATATAAGATTCTATTATTTTATTGGTCGTGTATTATATACGTTTTACATTTTTAAACTATTAAATATCAAATGTTTATTAATACGAAATAGATCTTGTTGAAATAATTTACAGATTCTGTATATTTGTATATTCAATATTTTCATTTAAATTTTATGTTATATCTAATGATTTATTCATTATTATAGTTTATTGTTTATCCTATCCAAATATATTCAGTTTTGCATATTTTCTATTTTCTATTATTAATTATTTATTTTTTCTCTAAAAATTCAAAATCCGTAATTACGTGATATTAGGTTATCATAATCATTTATTTTATTTTTATCTTTAAAATATTTATAATACATTCTCGGATTCTTAATGATATCTACATTTTCAAACTAGGATTAATATTTTTTTTAAAAAAAAATCGAACTGTCAAAACAAAGTTTTATAATGGGGCTTGGTGAAATTTGAAAAGTGCACTCAAAGTTAAAGTATGAATATGACTTGTTATCTTCTTTTTTTTTTTGAAACAAGTGTTAGATCTTAAAAATTTATTTTAATTTTTTGAAGAAAACGTTGAAATTTTAAATTTAAAATCATATAATTACATCAGCATATGAAAAAATGACAAATAGTTATTGCCAATGATATTTTACTTAAATATTTTTGCTATTAAAAATAAGACAAAGAATGCGAGTTCAAAAACTGTGAATATAAAAAATTCTCATAGTTTTTGAGTTTCTTTATTTTATTTCTTATCTAAGTTTGTAATCTAAAATAATATGGTAAAAAACTAAATCATTAGTTTTCAATTTTCTTGAGGTCAGATAAATACGTGATGTTACACTGATTTTAAAAGCCATCACAAATAGAATTGCATCATAATGTGATGACGACGAAGGATTGGTAAGATGGCAGTGCAGAAACATGTGGTGTGGGAACACAAATGATGAGAATGATGAAGTACAAATGATGAGAATGATGAAGTTGTACAATGATGAGAATGATGAAGTTGCACGATGATGAGAATGAAGAAGTACAAATGATGGGAATGATGGAAGGAAGGGAGAAAATGATGAGAGAGAAATATAAAAGTAGCAGTAGTAAAAGAAAGAAAAGAGAGTTCCTTTTTGCAGCATTTTTCTTAAGAAATTAATAACACTTTGATCTTTTATTTTTATCTTTTTCTTTATTAATTAAATAACTATAATAACATAGCAATAATTATATAATAAATGTTAGAAGTAGTGAGAGAATAGAAACACGCCATTGTAATATTTTGTTGCCCAACTTCTAATAAAATTTTCTTTTACTTTTCAATCGTAAATAAACGTTTTATCTCTTATAAATCTGTTCTAACACCAATAGTATACGTAGGGAAAATTACCTCTACTTCACTTACTCACATACCTTTCAGATTATACTCACGATTCTGTAGTTGTTATTTAAGTTGTTACATTGTATAGCGATACACGAAGAAGTGTAAGTTATTATTGAGACTGAAAACTTGATTTGTTGTGTAATTGTGACACTAGTAATTATTTTTATCAAGTTAGTGACATAACACCCATATATATTGAGGTGGCACGAATGCCACAGGGAATGCTGTACGAGAATTGCGGAAGGTTACGAAGGTCACAAGGGAGAATAGAAAGATGACAGTGACACCTGGATGAGTGTGCTACCATCGTCATCTTTTACATCTTCGTGTATCATCTTTTTCATCTTTGTGTATCATCTTTTTCATCTTTGTGTATCATCTTTTTCATCTTTGTGTATCATCTTTTTCATCTTTGTGTGTTGTTATCCGTGTAAACCTTCTACAATTTACAAAGACAACGGGATAAATTAATACTAAAACTAATAAATAAAACTAAGTATAACTATAAGAATTACTAATCTCACGACAAAATTATCACAATACAA